ATACACTCGAAGGGGGTACACGTTTTCTTTTCGGGTTTCGTGGGTTCCTAGTGCACTTGGAACCGACGAAACCGAAGACGGTTGGCCCCGGGGTGGTTTCACTGCGTACTAACACAACGGTATATACAGCACCGAGCGCGTTTGCTTGGGCGCGCACGTGTTGTATGCTCGGGCGGTGCACGTCATCATCAATGATCAAGCTGAGCTGACCTGTGCGTGTGGCGTGGTGGGCCGCGGCGCTTGTGCGTTGTGGAGCAACATACGTGATGTGACGTTACGTGTCACAACACATCAGCGCACACGCACGAGGGAACCTCTTAGCAGCAGCAAAAGCCCCCCACCCGCCACCCGTGGACCCAAACTGCGCGTCAAAGCCATTGGAACAGCCGCCACCGTGCCGAGCGTGGGGGCAGCGGCGGCGGCGGCGGCGGCGGCGGGACCAACAGCTTGAACGTCTCGCCCAGCTCCGTTGCGGAGTGCGCGTTCATCTTCGAGGACGGGTTCAGCACGTGCGGCTGCTGTGCGCTGCCTGAGATGTAGCAGAAGTCGAGTAGCCCCTCAACGGGCGGGCATCCGGCAGGAAGGTCCTTAGCGGCCTGCGGGTCGTTGCCGGAGCGCATGGTGCAGATGAGCAGCGAGCCGCCCGGCGCCACCATCGTGCGGCACAGCTCCACCTCGTCGTACTTGACGACCCCGTCGGCGAGGCGCGGGCCGCTAGGCTTGACAAAGAGGACGACCAACGGGTACGTGTGTTCCGGCTCGGCAGAGACGAACCGCTCCGCTGGGATCCCAGAGCGGGTCGCCACACCGTCGATGACAGCCTGGAACTTGGAAGCCGTCGTGCCGCTCTGCACGTGGTAGGCGCCGGTGTGCGGGTTGGTGGTCGCCGCCTGCCCCAGCTCCTTTTGCTTGATCTCCAGCTCGAGCTTCTCCAGCTCTTCCCGCATCGCCTCGTTGCGCTCGAACTCGATCACAACCTCGTTTGCGCGCTTGAGCACATCCGCCTCCCTCAGCTCAACCTGCTTCAGCTGGTTGGCGAGCTCGACCTCACGCATCGCGAGGCTCGCTAGGCGAGAGGAGAGCTTCTCCTTGCGTGAGATGAGGATGGCCTCCTTTCGGTCAATGGCCGCGAGCTTGTCGCTGAGCGTCTGCTCTCCTGCATCGAGAGCCCGCTCTCGGGCCTCATGCTGGCAAACCGTACTACTGAGTAAGCCCTGCTTGCCCCCCCCCCCCCCCCCGCCCGCCCTCTGTTGACCCCCCCTGCCCCTCTCCCCCCCCCCCCTGGCCGCGGCGCCGCTTGAGATAGACCATGTAACCCCTGCCTACTCTCGCAGGTGCGAGGGGAACTGAAATAAGACAATGGGCTTGCCCATCCCGGAGTGGTTCGACCCCACACAAACCCGGAGGGGTGATGGGATGCTGTCGCGGCGGTCTCAGGCCCAGTGAGGTAGTGCGCCAGACTATCCCAGATCCTGCTGAACAAGAAGCTCCTCTTGTAGCTCGATCGGTCACACCGCCATCGCCGTCGGGGAGAGGGGGGACGACACTGCTTCGGCAGCGTGCACCTCGATCCTGTACCGTGTTTGTTATGACCCCCCCCAATGAACACACCAGTGAGGGTGGGCGAGACGATCGAGGGGTCCCGTACCACGCGGAACCGACCCTATCCAGTGCTCAAGTGCTCAAGTAAGCCGACAGAGGAAGGGGGCTCCGAAAGGCCGCGCATGCCCTCGCATGCCGGGCGAATAGGCAGGTCACAGACCTCCCCCTTCCCGATGAACGTGGTTCATGATGGGTGTTCTGTTCATAACGCTACTTCCTTGTACTTGTAACCACGATCGATGCGAGGACGCAAGTCCACCAACCTCGGCCATTCCATCGGCCAGACCGCTCGCTTAAGGCTGATCGGCTAGACGAGCGGTCTACCCCCGACGGGGCGGTCTGGATCACGGGGGATGACATCCTGCCTCCCGGCACGCCGGGAGGAGGTGGGTGCTCTGCCGCCGGACCCCCCCCCTCCATCACCCTCGCCCAGGGATCTACAATGCTGTCTTAAGGTCCGACAGGTTCGGCACCGGGCACCGCCTCGGTATAGAAAATGCGCCTGCGGGCGGACCCTTACAGATCACAGATCACAGTTGTACTAAACAGAGCTTGGCAACCTTGGTTTCACGACCGTGAAATCAAGTACGTATCGCAAGAACGTGGGCGGAAATGCCCCCAGCCCACACGCCCTTGCTGACGACACGCTAGCGACCCTCGCGTACGTGCGCCTCAGCTCAACCACGGACGTACTTCGACACTACGTACGTACTGTCAAAACAGGGACGTACATACATGCAAGTACGACCTTATCCTCAAATTTTCTCTTCGGCTCGCTCCGCTCGCTTCGGTGCGCAAGAGCCGGGCCTCGCACGCCGGACGCCGGCGGCTCCTGGCCCTAATCCTGGCCCTAATCTACGCAGAGAAACGGCCGCCCTCGGCCCAAACGTATCCTGGCCGTTCACCAGCGGCGCGTTCTCGTCCGCGACCTCCTCGGTCATGCCTTCGGTGTCGCAGTGGTCGGTCGTGGTCCCACCGTCGGTCGTCATGCCAAGCGCGACGCGCTCCTTGTGAGCCGCGAGCCACGCTGCGATTGATGCGTCCGCGCGCTCATTCGCTTCGTCCAGACGCTTGTTGAAGTCTGCCGCCACCTTCTGCCACTGCCGCTGCCGATGCGCCCGCAGCCGCTGCACAGTCTCGTCAGCCAGCAGCGTCTTCGACTGGCGGTCCTCAATCATGGCCGCCTGCATCCGCAAGAACCAAGCAGACGCTCGAGGGCCAGACATGGTTGGCAAACTGCGTCGCTCGAAGACACGGTCGTGATTGTACGGTCTTGCGAAAAAGAATTTTACACGGGCCGTGCGAAAAAGAAATTAGTCCCCCTTGGAGCACTTGTTCAGATGTACACAAAAAGGGCCCCCCGGGGGGACCCCCCCCACCCACCCACGTGGAGCTGGAGTGGCCCCCCCCCCCCCCCCCCACCCACGAATGACTGGTCCTGGTGGTGCAACTGGGAGTCTTCTGCGCAGTATCCCCCAGATTCTTTCAACTGTGAGTGGCCGAATGTCTGCGACGATCAAATAGCCAGCGGCCGGTGGTTACGTCAGACAGGCAACACGCCGTGCTCGCCATATTGGCAGCACAAGCAGTGCCAACTGACGGGGCCACATGGGGACCACACAAGCGTCAACGGTTTCTTCATCTACCCGCAGAGCGACACCCAGGACCAGACAAGGCACTCGCAGGAGTGCCGCGTTCTCGCTCACTGGCCAGGCCTCTCTCTCCTTCTTCTATCACATGTTTGGCGCCGAGATGGGGTCTCTCTCGCTCATGGCGTACGACGGCAGCGAGTGGTCGCCGCTGTGGAGCAGGAGCGGCGACCAGGGAGTCGAGTGGCGCAACGCTGTTGTCCTTATCCCCGACACGACAACTAGGCTTCGCTTCGACGGACTGGTCTCTGGCGAGTATTCGGACATGGCGCTGGACGACATATCGTTTACGCCCCTGGCTAGCCCGTGGCCCCCTCCTTCGAATCCGCCTCTACCACCGATGCCCCCAATGCTGCCCGCTCCACCATCGCCCCCACCCCCGCCTTCGCCTGCGCCCTCGCCGCCGTACACCTGCGTTGACGCAGAGAGCACCGGAATCATGTTCAGCAACGGGAACGAAGCCAGCTGCTCCTGGCTCAGCGACAACGGCTATTGTGGTTCCGTCCTCACTCAGGGTTCTGTCGCGGGTGGGCCCACCGTCGCCATCATGGACGTGTGCACGCTCACTTGCGGTGGCTGTCCGCCGTCGCCACCGCCACTGCCGTCGCCACCGCCACCGCCACCGCCACCACCACCACCGCCACTACCGCCACCACCGTCGCCGCCACCGCCGCCACCGCCACCGCCACCGCCGCTGCCGCCGCCGCCTCCGCCACCACCGCCACCACCGCCACCACCGCCGCTGCCGCCGCCGCCGCCACCGCTGCCGCCACCACCATTAGCACCACCAAAACCGTCGCCCTCTTTATATGTCATTCCGATCGTAGCTACAGCCAGTGGCGTTGCTCTCACGTCTCTCGGGTGTGCCGCCATCTGGTGCATCTGGGGTCGCAAACGCGGCAAGCGCAGTACCGGCGCCCAGTTACGGAGCTGAGCGCATGAGGGACTTGACGTGTTTGTTGCGTTTGCTTGCATGCATGCATTCATGTGAGATCTATCTAACTATGAGGTGAGGAGGAAGGTGAAGAACAGCCTGGCTCGGACTGGACACCAGCGCGAATGATTATTCAAAGAAATCTGATGTGAATTCGGACGGACGGAAAAACACCCCCCTTTTATGCCTGACCCTAGCCAAGGATACACAGTCCCTCGTGTCGCGCGTGTAAGTCCCGGTTGCCGTGCGCGCCAGCGCGTGTGGCCGCGTACCTTAGCTAAGACGATACGCGCACAGTCAGACCAACGACTGGGACACCAACGCGGTATGGGTGGCGCCTGTGTGTGACCAGCCCCAACCCCGACAAGCGTTGGCCCAGGCCCCAATTTTATCGAATTTATTTCAAAATCTGCAGGCGCGGAGCGCCTGCGAAAATTTTGAAGAAATTTGCAGTCGGGCCTGATTTTCATCAAGATCTTTCAAATTTGCGGTGTGGAGTTTTGGGGGGTCGGGGTGGGTGGCTAGGGTTAGGGTTATTCGGGGTTAGAGGGTTAGGGTTAGGGTTAGGGTTAGGGTTAGGGTCAGGGTTAGTCTTGTTGTGTCTGTATATGCCAGCGTTGCAGGGTTCTGCGCTGGGTTCTGGCCCCAGCGCCTCTCTCTTGGTAACTGTGCGGAAAAAGTGTGTGTGTGTGTGGGGGGGGGGGCATGGTCCTGTGACCGCCCAAGACGAGCCCACCCATGTACCCCCAAGCAGGTCTGCCAGCAGCGAGCGAGCAGGCGCGAGGCGGGGGGGTATGGTCGGTTGATCTGGGCTGGCGGACGCTACCATACCTTGTACCCTCCAGCAAAAAGTCAGAACCCAGGGTTCGGTTCCGAGCGCGCCGGGGGTGCGACCGCACAACACTGGGCACGGGACTGCGCGCACTGGCGCTGAACAAATTTAGTCAGACCCGGCTTTCCCGGCAGCCTGGACGACGCATTGCGGTGCGTGTGCCACCAGCGCTCACCACCATCGTTCGGCGTGCACTTGCCCGACGCCCATCCGCCGCAGCGTGGCGCAGATCTCATCGGTCATGCGCGGCGGTCCGCAGACATACGCGCACACGCCCTCCGCGCACGCCTCGCTCGCGGTGCCCGGCTCGCGCGCCACGCTCTCAGCCATCCACGGGACCGCGCTGCCCTCGCGCACCTGTGGAGGGCGGCGGGCGGCGGCGGTGGGCACGTCGGCGGCTGCGGACCCGCCCGCCCACCCCGCGGCGCGAGCCTCGTTTGGCTCGCACCCCAGCCAGCGCAGCGCCTCCTCGAGCGCCGCATCACCGATGCGCCCGTCTAGGCGGCCGGCTCCGGGGAGGGGAGGAGCGGCGGCGGAGGACGGCTCGCGCGTCGCGCCGAGCCTGCGGGGAGGCGAGGGGCCGGGCGCAGCCGAGCTCAAAGCGAGAGCGGGTCGAGACCTCGCGAGGCGCGGCTTGCTTTTTCCTGAAGCGTGTATGGCCCGGAAGGCGCTGCGCCAGGCGCGAGAGCTGCGCTGTGAAGAGAAGCTCGTCGTGCCGCTGCGCCGTGTACAGCAGTGCGGCGCGGCGCGGCGGAGCCCGGTCGCAGTGGGCTCGCAGCATGCTGTAAAGGGGGTTGATCCCGACGCCGCCAGCCACGTAGAGAGCTGCGGGCGTGTCTCGCAGTACAAAGCTGCCGCCGACCCGCAGCGCGACGCGGTCCCCCGCCCTCGCGTCGCGAGTGCACCAGGCCGCCGGCGGGTGCGCCGACGCCTTGACCGCAAGGCTCAGCCGCGGCAGCTCCGCCGGGAGCGAGGTGATGGAGTAGCCGCCGACCTGAGCCGTGCGCGCGCGATGAGCGGGTGGGGCGGGCCATGAGTATGGCCATCGCGCGTGGCGCCTGGTCGATAGCAGGGATGTACAAGTCCACCCACTGGCCCGGTTCAAAGGTGAGTGACGACTCGAGCTCGAGCTCCAGGGCAGAAGTGGACGGCGAGAGCGGCGAGACCTCCGCGATCGTGGCCCACGTCTCGGGAGCCGCGTTCGCGTGCGTGGAGAGTCTCCGACGGACGGGGAAAGTCAGCCGCGACAGCCGTCGCAGCATGTGCATCGAAAAGGTTTTTTGTCACCAGCGTGGTCACTTGTAGTGAGCGTCGGGCTGGTGGTTCGACGTGTATTTTTTGCGAGCAGTGCTCGCAAGAGTCTGTTCGCAGAGTCGCTGCGTGAATTCTTCTCGATTTTTGGCCTTGTGTCGTCTAAGTTCATGGCCCCCGACCATACAGCGTCTAAGTCTGAGCCCGGCTCCGTGCAGGGGCTAAGTTGAGCGCTCGCTCGCTGCAGAGGCTAAGTGTAGAGCGACCCTCTAGCCCTACTACCCAACCATTGAAACACCGCTCTGACAGCGCTCACATCTGAGAGAGAGAGATTTTTCTTTCACATCTGTGCTCTGGCACGATACCCCGAGAGTTTCAAACGCTCTCTCGTATCACACCCCCTTCCCACTCTCCCTCTCCCCTTCGCCGCCCCCCAAAAGAAAACGGCTGATGGCGGCATCAGCCAAGTCGGGCTCGATCCGGTAGCCCGCAACCACTGCAAGGACATTCAGTTGTAAGCCGTGACCAAATTCCGATAAGCGATATGTTGTCGTGCCGTGCCTTTAGTCCTTGTCTATCCATAGACGTCCTTGTAACAGTCCTCAGAGCATTTCATGTATGTGTCAAGGCACGCGGATGAAAAGGATGCGCCAGAGTAAAGGCACGCGTTGTTGCACAGCGCGACGTCATCCTTTTCATCCGGAAGCCCGACCTACAATTAGGGTTGATGAGTGAGCTGAGGTGTGTGTGTAATGAGCAGTGAGTGAGATTCGCGCCAACACAGCAATGGGCGGGTTGATGGGGTGTGCGAGTGCGAGAGATGGGAGTGGCGAGAGGGTGGCACCACCGCACTCTCAGGAGGGAGGGGGGGGGGGGGGGCGTGTCTGAGTGGCGACAAGGCTCGCGCACGCCGATCATGCACAGCCAGCTTCTGATGCGGGCTGCTCTCGGGGAACGCCAGAGCAGGGATCCAGGGCCCTTGTGAGGCGGAGAGCAGGCGACTGCGCGGCAAGGCTACAAGGTGCGACGAACGCCTGCTTGAGCGCTGGCGCCGGGGCCCCCAGCGCCTGCGTGGCCAGCGTGGCGATGATTCCCCCGCCTGCAACGACGGCATTACTAGTTGTGCAAGGGGCGGTGGGAACAGGGCCGAAAGGATGGTCAAGCGCGATCCGGTTGTGCGCACCAAAAGCGGCGGTGGCGACGAGAAGCGTCTTCTTGACGCCGCTTTGATTCGTCTCCATCTTGGCTGCCTGCGGCAATGCGCCCTAGACATCTGAGCAGGGCGCGCAGAACGCAGAACGGGCCCGGACAGCACCAGGCACACCCCGCACGCGCGAGCAGGCGCGAGCAGGCGCGCGCGAGAGCTCAGGCGCGCGCGAGGGCAGGGCGCGCGGGAGAGAGCAGCTGCGCGCAAGAGCAGGCGCGCGCGCCGATACCCCCCCCCCCGATGTTCGGCGATTCGGCGAGTCGGCACGAAGTCGATTTTTCGGCGATTACTGATGAGGCAGTCAGTCTTACACTTGAGAGAGAGAGAGGCTGCTCTCGGCGAGGCAGCAGACGGCGGCCGCTGCTCCGGCGACCGCTGCTCCATTCCCAGCGCCGTGTCTCCGCCTCTCCCCATCAACGTCGGCGCGATTAACGGCTGCTCCGGCTGCATCGATGCGTGGCAACGCCAACCTGTGGTCAGCTACAACTACCAACCAACCTCTGAAATGGTGCCACAACTACCATCCCTTCTAGCCCGGCATAGCAAAACCAAGCGGCCGAGTGTACTAGCTCGCAACCGCCCGATTTTTATAATCCTCTACTATTATACTACTAGTACACTTGAGCATTTGAGCACTTGATAGGGTCGATTCCGCATGGTACGGGACCCCTCGATCGTCTCGCCCTCCCTCGCTGGTGTGCTCAATGGGGGGGGTCATAACAAACACGGAGCAGGATCGAGGTGCACGCTGCTGAAGCAGTGTCGTCCCCTCTCTCCCCAACGGCGATGGCGGTGTGACCGATCGAGCTACAAGAGGAGCTTGTTCAGCAGGATCTGGGATAGTCTGGCGCACTACCTCACTGGGCCTGAGACCGCCGAGACAGCATCCCATCACCCCTCCGGGCTTGCGTGGGGTCGAACCACTCCGGGATGGGCAAGCCCATGTGAGCACTTGAGCACTGGATAGGGTCGATTCCGCATGGTACGGGACCCCTCGATCGTCTCGCCCACCCTCACTGGTATGTTCATTGGGGGGGGTCATCACAAACACGGTACAGGATCGAGGTGCACGCTGCCGAAGCAGTGTCGTCCCCCCTCTCCCCGACGGCGATGGCGGTGTGACCGATCGAGCTACAAGAGGAGCTTGTTCAGCAGGATCCGGGATAGTCAGATGCACTACCTCACTGGGCCTGAGACCATCACACGACAGCATCCCGTCACCGTCTCGGATTTATGTGGGGTCGAACCACTCCGGGATGGGCAAGCCCATCAATTTTCGTTTCGTATTTCCCCTGCACCTGCAGGAGATGGCGAGAGAGGGATGAGTGGAGCTGGGAGGAGGGGGAGAAGAGGAGAGGCGGGGGCGGGGCGGGGAGGGGTGGGGGGGGGGGGGGGGCCCTTTAGGCGGGGGAGCTCAGGGGGGGGGGGGGCTCAAAAGGTCAAAAACTGCACCATACCAGCTTGTAAACGTTTTACCCCCCCAAAAACTCGTGCAACTGGTTAATTATCCAACATTCCTGTTGTGCAAGAGGGGAGTGGGCTCTGACGGAGTGTGTGGCGGGAGTTAGGCTGAATATACTTTTCCTCTCGCACCCCGTCTCTTTTCCTTTCTCGCCGCCGCGGCTCAATCCACTGGCGCAGCAGCATCGCGACCCATTCTCCAAGCACGGCCTCTGGCGTTGCGATTGCACAGAGAGCGAGCAAAAGTCGACAAAACCACTGATCTGTGTGCAGCGGATCTCCATGGCGGTCGCGCCCAGCGAAGGGACAACCGCAGGCCTCGGATGCTCGCCCGGAAGTGGTCCCACCGTGCGAGTTGCAGCCCCGGAGGTGGCCGACCCAGCCCACCCCCAGAGAGGCATGCCCAGGGTCAGGTATAGAAGGGGGGGTGTTTTTCCGTCCGTCCAATCCTTCGTTGTAAATAATACAAACCCAATGGTCCCTTGCGAGCGGTCCCCTGTCGCAGTCGCACACACGCACACGCCTCACCGCACCGCGCGCCCGCCCGCTGCCCCGCCCAGGCGGGAAAGAGATGAGGAGATGGGACAGCAAAGGAGGAGCACAAACACGTATGGGAGGTTTCAGTTGTGCGCCACGCTGCCCGGCGTTTCTCACTTTCTTCACCTAATTTTTGGTCTTGAGCACTTGAGCACTGGATAGGGTCGATTCCGCATGGTGCGGGACCCCTCGATCGTCTCGCCCTCCCTTGCTGGTGTGCTCATCGGGGGGACGGGGGGGGGTCATAACAAACACGGTAAGGATCGAGGTGCACGCCGCTGAGGGACCCCAGCTGAGAGGGTACATGTAGATCGAGCGGTGTCGTCCCCCCTCTCCATCATCTCACTGGGTTTTGGTCAGAGGGGTTTGTCGTGTTCTTTAGGCCCCCCTCTCTCTCTCTCTCGTCGTACATGTGCCTGCAAGAACCAAAACCCAGCGTCGTCTGAGAGTTTCGCGTACCACAGTACACGACGCAGTTCAGCAGGCTGTGATGCAATACGGCTATGACGACGAGCTCTTCCAGGCGTGGAGGGACGGCGAGATACGGCGAAAGGACTTGCCGGAGGAGGTGGTGGCTATGGCTTTGGACCTTTGCGAGAGGTGGCGAGCGAGCGGAGCAAGAGCGGTGTAGGCGCGTCCACGCGGCGCAGCGGCTCTCCCGCCGCGACCCCGGCCCCTCTCATAGCCGCAGCCGTAGCCGCAGCCCCAACTCTTGCCGCTCTTCCGTGTCGGGTTGTGACGAGGGGTGAGCGGACCGCACGGATTGAAGATCCCTCACACCAAGATCGTGCAGGGCGGGGACACATGTCCCTAAATCCCATCTCGTCTCAGAGTTTGCCCGTTTTATTTATTTATTTATTCGCGCCAAAGCAGACATCAGGGATCTGATCTCCATCTCTCGAGCATCGCGAAGTGCGGACCGCACGCCGCACCGGTGGCTCCTGCGAGGCTGTGAGCTGTATGCCATTATAAGCGGAAGAGCCCTAGTGCCTAGACCGAGAGCGAGTACGCGCGGTGCGAGAGGTCGCAAAAGACGTCGAGGCGGCCCGAGGCGCCGCCGGCGGCGACGAGCAGCCCGTCGCGCTCCGACGTCTTTGCGGCGAGCGTGAAGATGGAGGGGCTCGCGCAGACGGCGCGCGTCATCAGGTCGCCTGCGCACAGAGGTGTATAGCGGGCGCGCATCGGGGTGTGAGCGCCCGCTGGGCGGATGGCCTGCGCGGCGCCTCTCTGCGCGGTGTGGTGAGAGGTCTCTCTGCGCGGTGTGGTGAGAGGTCTCTCTCTGCGCGGTGTGGTGAGAGGTCTCTCTCTGCGCGGTGTGGTGAGAGGTCTCTCTCTGCGCGGTGTGGTGAGAGGCCTCTCTCTGCGCGGTGTGGTGAGAGGTCTCTCTCTGCGCGGTGTGGTGAGAGGCCTCTCTCTGCGCGGTGTGGTGAGAGGCCTCTCTCTGCGCGGTGTGGTGAGAGGTCTCTCTCTGCGCGGTGTGGTGAGAGGTCTCTCTCTGCGCGGTGTGGTGAGAGGCCTCTCTCTGCGCGGTGTGGTGAGAGGCCTCTCTCTGCGCGGTGTGGTGAGAGGTCTCTCTCTGCGCGGTGTGGTGAGAGGCCTCTCTCTGCGCGGTGTGGTGAGAGGTCTCTCTCTGCGCGGTGTGGTGAGAGGCCTCTCTCTGCGCGGTGTGGTGAGAGGTCTCTCTCTGCGCGGTGTGGTGAGAGGCCTCTCTCTGCGCGGTGTGGTGAGAGGCCTCTCTCTGCGCGGTGTGGTGAGAGGCCTCTCTCTGCGCGGTGTGGTGAGAGGTCTCTCTCTGCGCGGTGTGGTGAGAGGTCTCTCTCTGCGCGGTGTGGTGAGAGGCCTCTCTCTGCGCGGTGTGGTGAGAGGCCTCTCTCTGCGCGGTGTGGTGAGAGGTCTCTCTCTGCGCGGTGTGGTGAGAGGCCTCTCTCTGCGCGGTGTGGTGAGAGGTCTCTCTCTGCGCGGTGTGGTGAGAGGCCTCTCTCTGCGCGGTGTGGTGAGAGGTCTCTCTCTGCGCGGTGTGGTGAGAGGCCTCTCTCTGCGCGGTGTGGTGAGAGGTCTCTCTCTGCGCGGTGTGGTGAGAGGCCTCTCTCTGCGCG